TGCCTTACCTACATTATCACTGATCCCCACAAAGAGCTCAGGACTCAGGATCCCCCCTACAGCTGAGGGGACAGAGAAGAGGCTCAGAGAAGACGATGCCCGTGTAGAGAGTGGCAAACTCCAGATTTTAAGCCAGCTCTGTCTAGCCCAGACTCACCTACTAAATGAGCACTCAGCCACCCTGCCCTCCACGGAGATTCCTTTGGCTCCACCCTAGTGCAGGAAAAACAGTTGCTTGGCTTCTGAAAAGGGAAGGCAAGCATGGCTTTGTTTATCTGAAATCAGCTCTGGCCTTTGGGATCTGTGCAGTTTCCACAAAAGGTTCAGCTGTCAGAAAAAAAGGAGCTTATGAGCTGGGAAAACTTCATTCTAGCAATGGTGGGTCACAGATAGCCCTGCGAATTCCTACTGATCATTTCAAACCAAAGACTGATAAGGTCTGTAGTTGTGCGAATCACAGGGGCAGCCATTGGTGAGAGTATTTGCAAAGGTGCCTTACCTACATTATCACTGATCCCCACAAAGAGCTTCCAGACAAGCTCCCGGTGAAATGCAGATGACAAGGAACAGATTTGGAGGAGGATCTAGTGTGTCCTCAGGGGTATGGTTACAGGGGTAAGGTTCATGGTCATGCAATCTGTAAAACAACAAAATGCAAAAGGACATCTCACTTCCTGACGTGACACTGATCTCTTTCTCCTACTCCCCAAACCTAGACAGCCAGGTCTGGAAAAACAGAGAAAACATTCACCTGTCCCAGGCCCAGTGCTGAGACTTGGGTGTGGGAAGTAGTGCATCAGCGCTCTTCTTGGGCCACCAGGGCCCCAGATCCTTCCCAGGTGCTATGGTCTAACTGTGTGTGTCCCCTCCAAACTCTAAGGTCAAAATCCTACCCTCCCACAGACATGGCACTGAGAAGTGGGACCTTCCCGAGGTGATTAGGACACAAATGGAATTAGTACTGTTACTAAAGAGATGCCAGACAGCTGCCATGTTCCTTTCTGCATGAAGAGACATCATGAGGAGACACCATCAATGAGCCAGGAGGTGGGCACTCAGCAGACCCAGAGCCAACACCTTGCTCTTAGAGACTAGAACTATAAGAAACATATTTCTGCTGCTTAGAAGCCACCCTGTCTAGCACATTTTATCATCACTATGGAGCTAATACACCTCATGAGCAAATCACCCAACTTCTCTACCTCATCTTCCTCGTCAGCACCTGTGTACAGTGATTGTGGCACCTAATGAGGTGACACAGGGCGAGTACTGGCCCAGTCAGCACTCAGTAATGCCTAGCTACGCTGGGATGACTGACTGGATTCTCACAAACAGCAAAGAGATGGGTTGTCACTAGGGTAGGAAGGAATAAAATGGTGAGACTCAAAGGAGTGAAAAGATTCAAATGTTGCTCAAAAAGACTGAAATGTTGCTCAAATGCTGCCCTCAAGCAGTGGCAGAAGTTGGATCCAGATTGGATCTTGCATTTGCAATATCTGTCCTTTTGCTTGGTCTTGACCATCTATCTCCTTTTCTGCCAAGGTCAGGAACCAGCATCACCCCCAACAATGTCATATGCGCCCCAACACATGTGCCTCTCCTGGTGTGCCCTGCCAGTGGCATATGTCCACTTCAAAGACTCTACCTGGCATGCATTTCCCACACCCCTCCCCTCTCCTGGCTACCATTTTGGTTTCCACCTCAGAGGAGCCCTGAAACAGCACGGCACCAAAACACTCCCCATCAGGGGAGTGGGGCTCAGGGGCTTGCCTGACTCAGCCTTTAAGGACAGTGGTTTAGAGAAATAAAGAGAACTTTAAGAATACATTGGAAGATATTAACCCCATTCCTAGAAAAATGCTCTCAGCCATGATCTTGGCACCTCTGGGGTCTATCTAGGGACATCAATGGGGGATGGATTTCCTGCTCTGAAAGAGAATCTTGAAGCTCTGGAGAGAGCCAGTGAGCCCCTGAGCTCACAGCTTACTTTCTTCAGAAAGCAGGTTGCTTCTCCTTGGGGGCCAAGAGGAAGAACAAAGCACCCTGAGAGGAGTCACCTCCTGAGTGACCCTGGCAGAGCCTGACCTGCCTGGCTAAGGGGGCTTCAGAGAAGCCGGCCCCAGGCCCAGCTCAGCCCTGTGGTTAGGGGTGACCCTTTCAGCCCTCACAAGCCGCAGTCCCTGTGAGGGGATAAGGAAATACAAATACAAAGCCACGCACCCTGAGGTCACCAGAGAGAAGGCAGCAGATGCGGAGGCTGAGAAAGCTGTCAGTGCTGACGACATTATATCTGGGGAGAGAGAAGCCCAGCAAGGAAGCCTGGCTGAGGTAAGGGCAACCACTTCCCACTGAGGAAGAGCCAGCTCCAGCCACAGGAGTGATCACCACAAAGCCAAACAGGTGAAGTGTGAATACCAGTGCCACCTCTTTCCCACCAGGGGACCCCGCCTTTTAAATAGTAATTTCTACCTTGCAAGGCTGAGGTGAAGAGAGTGTCTATATGTAAAGGCAATAGTGTAGCCTCTCATTTCGATACCTAATCAATACCTGGTCACTGATACGGATGTGATCATGGATTTTCTTATTTGGAAACAATTAAGATGCCTTGGAGAATTTAGGGGACTTTTTTGCAATTTTGGAGGATTCTGGTTGAAAATCAAGATTTAAGAGAAAGCAGGGACTGGCAGGAGTGGTGGCTGTGCACGCCACAAGCCTTCCAGGGGCGAGGAGTCTTAGCAGGGGGTGCACGTCTTTCCTCAGTGGCTGACGGTAGAGCTGTGTGTGGCTGATTGTTGCATTGAACCTGTGCACAGGGCAGAGCAGCCCTGAGACAGCCTCCTTCGTCCCCTGGATCCCATTTCCCAGTGTGGTGAGCAGAGTTGAACTTGCCTGCAGCCCTATTACTGTGCATGTAAATTAGCTCCGCGTGCCTGGAAGGGTAAATGTATCTGCAAAGAGCTTGATGTTTACCTACGAATGTGTGTACACATGATTGTGCATGTGTGTATCTGTGTGTGTTCATTTTGAGTGTCAATAAGTCTGTGTGTTGGTGAACATATTGAGCTTGGACAGCTGGTTGCCCCTAGCAACTGTATGCTAGGATCTTCCAGCAACTGATCTCTCCTTGAATGACATCTGGTCGCTCACCTTAAGTGATCAAGACCTGTCTGGTGCCTCCTCTTTCAGGTCCTGGCCATTTTCATCACAAATTTCTATATCTAGGGTTTTTCTTGCTGCTGAGAAGTTTCCTGTCTCTCTGGAGCTCAGTGTTCAATGTCAAGCTCAGACGAGAGAGGATGAAAGCTGTGGGTTCGGGGTGATTCACATTAACAGTTGCCCCTTCCTTTTTGTAGGCAGTGACTATTAGCTCACCTGATTTATCTGCAGTATGTGCTCCTCTTATAAATAATCCAACTAAGATACCATCAAGAAAGCAAAATAATTTTAAAAGTTAGTGGCATAGGAAAGAGCTATTTATCTAGAGTTTCTTGATATAAGGGGTGAGGATAAAAATCAAACATAATTTTGTCTTTTAAAAACAGCTAATGGCATGAAATAAAAGAATATTTTAGATGTTAAAAAAAAAAGCAGCTACATTAGGAACAGAAATGCTTCCTCTTACTGTAACTGAAGCAAGGAAAGGTCAATTAAAATTTTTTGAGCCTTTTATCTAATCTTGAGTCACCAAAGCTAAGAGCGCAATACAAGGCTTTAAGACACAGATGCTAAATTCCTGAGCTTGTTCTTACAGGGATGAAAGTTTACCCGAAACAAAGGCAAAACCCCATGATTAAGCAACCCTTGTTGGAAGCAGAAGGTCACACAGAGATCCATATTATCCATTAGACATTGTCCTCCGTTGTTAAATGAAATATTTAACAATATTTCACTATAAGATACCATTATGACATTTAATAATATTGTAAAATATGTAACACTATTTCTGTTATGTGTTATTAAACTAAATGCGTTTAAAGGAAATGGCATAAGAACTAAATATTCCTTTGTCACCACGGCCGCTAGACCTACTAGTCTTTTCTTCTTTGGTACATCTTTATTCCTCTTTCAGAGATTGAAAAGAAAAAAATGGTTTGCCATTAGTTTTGCTGTGGCAAGATCCATAGGATTTAAAATGCAAAACCTGCACAGCTTTTCCTCTAAAAAAAGGTCATTCTGGGAGTTCCTGCAGCTTCATTCCCCATTCATGTTTCTGCTCAGAAAATCTGGGTAGGTCTACACCATGTTCTCCCACCTGCAGTCTGAGGAGCTCTCTCCCAACGTTGGAAAAACCCATTGTGCAGAGATTGAAGAACAAAAGCCAGGAGTTCTCTGAGTTCCAAGAAGTTATGATCTCCATCATGAAAACCAACTGCCTTGGGTCAGCCTGGTTTTCCCATGAAGGTCCAGAAGTCACACAGGATTTTTGGGGTGCCATCAGTGGGAGTGGGGAGCACACATGTGAGGGGTTGAGGAGACGACTCCAGGCTGCAGAGATAGGTGGGGGTTGGGAATGTCCATAGGAGAAGGGTGCCATAGGTTCTGAAAAAACCAAATGTTGAAAAAGTCACACTGGGGTTCCTCTGAGAATGACAGTCCTTTAACTCTGAGACCTACGCATAGTATCAAGGTTTCTGCAGACACAGAAACTGAGAGACACAAGAACTGGCTGAAGTCACCCTAGGTAGAAACGACCTCCACTGAGTGTGGTGGGCTACAAGCCAGGTCTCTCTGAGTCTTCTGAGAACTCAACCTTTTAAAGGCACTTGTCATGTTAACTACAACTTAGAATTGCTGTCAGTTCTGTCCCTCACACTGTCCTCTGGTTGGTGTCAGAGGACCCTGGATGTGTCCCCATGCCCAGGTGTACCTGAGACCCACTTGGGGAGTGGAATTTCCCCCCACAAGTGTGTGTATCAATGGGACAGAATCCAGTTCACACCCAGGAGCTAATAGACAGCATTTCCTCATCCCAGAGAATAAGAGTGTCAGGAGCAGATAAGTTTTATTATTAAACAACTTTAATCCAAATGCTGATTATTATTTGCAGTGTCTGAAGGCACAAAATATACCTAAAATGTATGGAAGTCTAAACAGAGTTATAAATCCAAAGAGCAAAGCATGAAAAAAAGTACATTCTATGAGCTGACACAGAAATCTAAGTTGGGAAGATTCTGGTTTTGTTGTTGTTTTCCCCTAGAGAACTTGCTTGAATATCAATCATTTTCCCTCATGCCAAGGGCAGGAACTTTAAAAAATAACATAAATATGGTGAAGAATAACACCATGAGATGTTAAGGGTATTTTAGAAGCAGTATACTTTCCCCTCGAAGACGCTCTGTCTCTCTCTCTCTCTCTCTCTCTCTCTCTATCTCTCTCTCTCTCTCTCTCTCTCTCTCTCACACACACACACACACACACACACACACACACACTCACACACATTCTAAGCAAAACCATCTAAGCAGACATCTATACATCCATACCTCAGAACACAGGGCATCTCTGGGGGAAAAACAGATTCAGGTGTGAGATAAGGCAGTGAGACACATATATGAAGTATTGGCCTTCCAGGGCTGGTTCTCCAAAGTGCTGATGGATGAAAGCAAAGCCCGCTCGTTCTTGGAGGTGATGGCAGCAGCCCACCTAGCCTCTGCCATGCACCCCAGCTCCAAGCTCCACACATTCTGATTGGAGAGATGTCAGTGGACCATCTCTGGACCATAATTATAAATACAGTCTTTCCTAGGGTGCTTTAGCTTGATGTGTGATGCGGCCATTCCCTACTGCTCCATCATGACACTAGGGACTTTAGGAAAGAAATCAATACCGGGCTAGTTATCACCCTCATAAACATATCTCTGGAGAACTCTACAAGGCCGAAGAAGAGTCGATCGATAGGACTTTGTATTTCCCCGTGACCACAGGCCCAGGTGCTCAGCTCCCTGATGACTGCTGGGGATGGGTGGGAGCCCCCTGCTCCTCAGATCTGGTTGTGGGCTCTGTTCTCCATCCTGACAGATTAGGAGAGCAGATTCACCTTTATCTTCAGGAGAGGTACTGAAGTGTCACAGTCCAAATTCCTCCAATTACTCCACTCCTGACGGTTCTTTCGCTCGTTCTATAGTTCAGTTGCCCCAGAAAGGGAAGCAGAGGGAGGTGAGGCTTTTAGGTAGTTCTAATCTTAGGAAACAGGGTTTCCAAGCAAGTTCTCTGGCTCAGGCGTAGGCCTGAGGGTTCCAAAGGACCTAAGATTCTTTCAGCCTGGAGGGATTCTGCCATGTCCAGATGGCTGCTTGAAGACTCCTGGTCTGGGAACGGTGGTAAAGTCAGACGTAGGGACTAGTGCCAGGGACTGGCTGTCTTTGGGTGACTTCCTGAAGGGCCTGAGAATCAGCAGTATGCCTTGACTTCAGGCTACACGCAGCTTCTCTAGGAGATGGGAAGTTTTCGTCTTAGCTTTACTTGGGCTTTACTGCTAAGAATCAAGTCCGTTAGGAAATTCCTACGTGGATACTCTTTTCTGTTCCCCAGCTACCTCCTCCCCTGGGACTGCACCTGCCCCAACTCCTTCCATAAAGATCCTTTACCAGAAATCAAAGTGCTTCTACTCCCTGCACCCCAACTACAGCTTATTCTCTCACCTGGACCATGGGCCCAAATCTAAGCATGCAGCTTTTCTTCACCTGGCTTCTTGTCACCACTGCCTCACCTGATCAGCACAACCAGCCACACTTCATATCCGCCTATCCCTGAGGACCTTCTACCAGGCCAGTCCCATCTCTGCCCAGCCTCTGTGACACAACGATGAGGCCTGCCCTTCTTCCCCATGATCTATTGATGGCCGACTCTTCTAAGTAAGAAAAGAAAGTAAAAACAAGACCAAAAGGATGATACTGGAACACATCGGCATCAAAGCCCACAGAGCTTGGTACCGCAATATGGGTAGCTTCTCTGGGGCTCAGGGGCAGGTGCACACTGTGGCATACACAGGAGTCCCCATCCTGAGTTAGCCTGGCTGGGACTGCTCTATGTCCAGGGCAGCTCTTCAGAGCCAGGCCAACAGAAAGAGTGGGTCACCTTCCAGCACAGTGACCCCATGGACCAGCCAGGGCTGGGTCCAGACTCTCTACCTACCCAAGGAGACTCCAGGAGAAATGAGGGGCCAGGAGCAAAGGGTGGAGGGGGAAGCTGGCAGTCCTGGCAGCCAGCAGCATTGGGGGCACCTCGCCTTCCTTCTCCCCAGCAGGAAGGGGCTCCTTTTCTGATGGCCCTTCCTACCCTTAGAAAGGCCCAGGAACATGGGGCTCCTTTGGCACTTCAGAATGATCACAAGTTTGCCTTTTTATTCATATAGAACAAAATTTACAAAGTCATTCATACAGTTTTTGTGGTTTTTTTTTTTACTGACTTCGAAAATTGGGAATATTCAAAATACACTTTTACCCCACTCCATTCTGTCATTATTTACACATATGTACAAGAAAAATGAAAGAGTCTCTATGTGTGTGTGTGCGTGTGTGTGTATGTGTGGTCTGTGTTGTTGTTTTCTCGTATTAAAAAGCTCTGCTGGTCGGGTGGGTGGGCGGGCGGGTGGCGGGCAGGCGGTGCGGTCAGATGGATGTGCCATGGGAGGTGTCCAGAGCCTCTGGAAGGACGCCCCCAGGCACGGGCTGGAAGGACATGGGGATGGGGGTCTTCACCGGGCTCTGCCGGAACAGCCCCCCATTGGGCGACCTGTGTTTGCACTGGATGGAGGGCATGGTGGCCGAGCTGCTCAGCGGCAGTGGCAGGCTGCTGCTGGGCCCTGCTGAGAGTGTCCGGCTGGCGCCGTGGCTGCTCTGCTCTGGCAGAAAGGTGCTGACTGAGAGCTGGGTGTTCTGGTACTCCCGTGTGGGCTCCAGGGCCTGGCTGGGTGCCAGGCCTCCCATCTCCAAGGCTGAGAGCTCGATGGACGCAGGGGAGATCTGCTTGTGAGCAATGTCTTCGTCCATGAGGCTGTTCATGCGCCGGTGCACCTGCTCCAAATTCACCTCTTTGTCCTGGAGGGGAAGATAGGAAGGTCAGGGAGGACCCTCAGGGCCCAAGGCTGGCTGGCAGCAAATGCAGGCGACTTGGAGGCATTAGGCCTGCTCAGCCTCTACACATAATTACCCACCCACCAAGGATGGCTGTCTGCTACCTGGGGAGTTCGTAGGCTAAGACATGCGGTAAAGACCTTGTGACATTGTTCCTGCCCTTTTCACTCAGCTTAGAATCACTACCACAGGCAGAGGAAACTCTTGTGACAAGACAGTTTGAAGAACGGGCAGCAACAGAAGGAGATAGGTGGAACCCAATGAGATTAGAAGGAATGGTTCTTGGGCACCTAGCATGTCCCCTGCAATTGCCATTTAGAGCTCAGTACTCTCAGCCCCACTTCAGACAAAAGGAGATTCGGTGACCTCACCTGAGTTACCAGCTTTCTGAGTGGCAGTGGTAATCTGGAACCCCAAAGTGAGACAGGTACTGGTCTTACCAGGTGACCTGCATTCTCCCCATTCATGTCTCCAGAGAGGCTGGGTGTGGGGTAGGAATACCTCCCTACCTGAAAGGCTAATGGATATGGGATTCTGGGTGAGGATGAGGAGTGGGAATGGTGAGGAAAGGGACTTCCCAGGGTTGGCAGACTCTCCTGGTAACGTGGGGCTTGAGGCTGCTCAGATGGGTGATCCTCACCTGGACACTGCAACACCATAGTGAGTGGCATCACAGAAGATTGATTCATTTGCTTCAGAAAAAAAACACAACCATATCATCCTTTTCAAATTATTTGATTTGCTCTCAGTGTCAAAATAAACTGAGGTGGTCACACTTCTTGAAAGCTCAAGGAAGAGGTCATCTATTCATCTATGGAGCTGACATGAGACCGACCAGCTGCCCGTGGGAAGAGCCACCCCAGCTCCCTGCTTCTAATCCGGAAGTTGCAGTCCTATTTGTAGCCACATGGGCATCACTGGGCCAGGAAGATGAGATGATGAATGCTGTTCCTTTTCACATGAAATTCCAAGAGAAATACCACATTAAAGTTGAATTTCAAGAAAACAATGTGGGTTTTCTAACACTGACACCCTATATTGAAGAGAGGACCCCAAGCCTTGTCCACCTTGTAGGGGTGTTGGAAATCCCAAGAAACTTAGATGCCTTGATATGTTTTTCAGAAAGAAAGGAATCCTGTAGAATAAGGTTGTTCCCATGGCTGTATTGAACTGTTCTGGGGCTGGGACATGAGGAGTTCCCCAAGGAAGAGTTATCCTAAATAACTGAGATGCATTTCCGTCATCGGAATGCACCAACCCAGGGCTACTCCCAGGAGGACTCAACTCAGCATGTCTCATGTTGGCAAGGAACTGCTGCGCCCTGTGATTTTCTCCTTGCCCTAGATTCTCAGCCTGGGGAATGGAGGACCACTGCCTTACATCTTAAGCCAAAAGCCGGCAGCTGGTGCTTGACTTCTGGCAAGACACCTGATATCATTCTCTCTCAAAACTTCTCCCGGAGCAGGAAACCTGATGACATCCATAAGACAATGGAGAACTTGTTTCAGGCAAAGAAGAAATTAGATAATAAGAGACCACCTATTGGGGAAGAGGGTCAATACAATTAGACTTGGTATCAAGGATGGACATGACATCAGGTGTCCTTGGCAATACCTTAAGGCAGAGCCCAGATTCCAGTGATCACAAGCCCCATATAAGCAAAGGTCAGCTCCCTGGAGCTGGGAGATCATCTCTGAGTTGAGGGCACCTCTGGGGTGGCAAGTGTCCTGGTGAAATGGAGAGAAGTGGCTGAAGGACATCAGGCTTCTACTTTTCCTGGCTAAATGCCATTCATGAAATGCTTTCAATGACTCCTCCAAGATTCTATTTTTTTTTTTTTTCCGGTACCAGGAATGGAACTCACGACCTCGCACTTGCCAGGCAGGCGCTGTGCTGCTGAGCTAAATCCCCAGCCCCTCCTCCAAAAGTCTGTTACCACTTACTCCTCAATTTAGGAGGTAAATTCCTAAGTGTAAACTTAGGAGATAAATTCATCCTAAGTTGAAAATATCCCAAGACTGCAATGCATTTGCTCTGTCTACCCTACCCAACACCATAGCTCAGCCACACAGCACTCTGTAGAGTGTGGGCTGCTTCCGCTCACAACTGTGGCTAGCTGAAAGCTGTGGCTCACTGCTGCTATCTAGCATTGCCAAAGAACATGGTTCCCAACTGTGCTAGTCCAGCAAAAGACAAAAATTCAAATTTCAAAGTAGGATTGCTACTGAATGCATATTGCTTTAGAACTATCCTAGAGTTGAAAAATACTAAAACAAAGAATGATAATTTGGGGACCATTGGTAAATAACAAATCAAACTTGAGTTCTTAATTATCTTCATGATTGAGCCAGTGCCATGCAACTTTCCCCTTTTCTATACATTTTATGTTTTGCTTTTTATAAAATGACTTTAATAGTATTTTATAAAGGTATCAATGCTCTTCTTTTAAAGAAGTTCAGGGTCTATTGCTTTTGGAGAATTACTGTCTGCACTGGGTAACCGCTTCCCAGGGAACTTGCTCACCTACCCAAGAGCCAGGACCATGACCCCAACAAAGAAAATAGGACCGAATCTGAATCCTGAACGAAGGGATAAAGTGACAGAAAATGGCTGGTGTTTGTACTGGTCAGTTTTCCCACTGCTGGGATCAAAAACCTGAAACCGACCATTAAAAAGAGGAAATTATTTCCCTGGCTCAGGGTTTCAGAAGATTCAGTCCATGGTCATTTGGCTCCAAGGCAGAAATGTAATGGTGGCAGGCTGTGGCAGAGCAAATCTGCTCAGCTCAGGGTGGATGGGAAGCAGAGCACAGGAGAACAATGTCAGAGAGGAAGGAGCAAGGGACCAAATATGGTGCACAATTTCACACTTAGACACACCTAGAAATGTACTTTACTAATCTCCTAGGTGGCTCTCAAGACATTCAAGTTGGTGATCCAGCTTACTAGTTACAGTGTCCCCTTGGGTAAGCAGATGTGACTCCCCCAGCAATCTGCTCTGGTCTACCCTCCTAGCTCCTGGGTCCCAGGTCTCTGGACCAGCTCCAGTTCCGCTCTTCACCAAGCCTGCACCTCAGCCTCCTCATGGCTGCTCTGAGCTCCTGTGAAGCTTCTGCTGCAGAATGTGATCTGATACAGGACACGGTTCCTTTATCTGCATTAGCCACAGTCAGTGCCATAGCTGTTTTGGCAAATATTTGTATCCATAAGATATTTTCATCAAAAAGAGCTTAGAGGAGGGGTACTAGAGAGTGTAGAAGCTGGAGACAATGAAATAATTTCAAATAATGCAAGGTTTCAGCAGATAACTTTGCCTTCTCTGCGGCCAACAAAGGTTGAGAAGGGTAGACAGGCAGGATGCCCTCAGTATAGACTTGTTTCTATAGAGGGAAAACTGGTGACCAGGCAGTCCTGGGGATCACTGGAAGAATTGGTTAATTGCATAATCTTGCCTTTTCCTCCTTTCTGTTCTCACTTCTGGACTTTAAGGTCCCCTTTGAGGATGAAGGAAATAAAGTTTAAGAGTGAACTAATTAGCAGCCAGGAGCCAGTGTCTTGGTACCAGCTGTGTTCACGGTGGATTTGGGCAGTTAGGAGGGAGAGCCTGGCCCTTTGCTCAGAGTCAATTAAGTGCTGGGTCAGGGGAGATTGTTTAGGAGTTTTTTGTTTTGCCAGGGTTTAAAGAGAGAGAAAGGATAATCTCCTGTCCCGGAAGGTCAAGGAAAGGCAGGAAGTTGGGAGTAGGGGCAAAGAGAAAGGAACTCTCTCCACCTCGTGCCAGCAAAACAAACACACGGAGGTTTTTGCAAAGGAGACAGACAGATCCAAATCTTCTGAAGAAAAAGTGTGAGGATGAAGGTGTCTCAGGGGCGGATCTCTTCCCCACTGAGGCAGAAGGAGAGGAAGAGGACGGGTGTGGGGTTGGGAAAGCACCAGGGCCCAGGCACCAAGCTAGCATCTTAAGTGCAGCTGGGAGGAGCCGATCAGATAACAGCAAAGCACTTAGAATAAAGACCAACCCAGGAGCGGGTACAGGGGTGGCCAATTACCTTCATGTCAGGACTTCCAGAGGAAAGGGTTTAAACAGTTTCTTCAACTCACATGTTCTTCCCTTACCTCAAATTGAGGAGGCATGAACCAGTCCACAGGACTGCAAGGCCGTGCAGTGCGAATCAGCTCTGGTTGTGGTTATTCATTAGTTTTAACCTCTCCACATGAGGACACCCAACAAATGTCCACAACAACTGAACAGAATTTCCAGGGAGAGTTTCTCACGCCAAATGGCTGTCAAAACGCCAAACTCTGTGCGCCAGCAGGACCTCATTCAATTCAGATCCCATAAGCCTCATAGCACCAACATCAAGACAAACTGGCAGAAGAGGGTGCCGTCAAGAGTGTTTTGTACTAGGAATTTCAATGCACTTGAAAATGGGTTGAACTAAATGCAGATACTCCCCTGACCCCCTGGAAAGCAAAGGTAGCCTGTCTGTCTCTGGGTCCACTAAGCTGCTGGCAGGGCCAAGAATGAGGAGCACACAGCAGAGAGCCACCTGGCTTGTGGTCCTGAAAGCTCTGTGTTCCTGCATCATCTGGGGCCACAGACAGCACACACAAGGTCATTCATTACGTGTCTAACAGTACCTTCTGCATCTCTGGTCAAGGAAGGAGAAGGCAGGTGTCATCACTCATTCAAGGAAAGAAGCAGAAGTGATGGAATAAAATCCATCTTGTGGACAAAATGGTGCATTCTATAATGTTATGCAAATTCAAATAATGGGCCTTTTTTATGTGAACTACATTCGTTTACATCCTCATTATCCCAAGGTTTCGGTTTTCAGCCAGGTAATGACAGCTGTGGAAAGAGACCTGGAAACTTATCTCTGCGTTCATTAATCTACCATGGGTAACTGACCTACTCAAACATCCCTGCATATGACATAAAATTCATTGACTGCATTTACCCAC